TCTTTTTGATGCTTAGCAATTTTTGTTTGATGCGTCAGCCGAAGACGCAGGGATTACTAGAAGTATGAATTCGCCCATCTGCTACCAAGCACCACCTACATTAAGCTCTGAAGGCGAACGGAACTGCTGGCATGGGGGACTTTAGGGCTCAGAGTTTAGCGTTTAGGGGCTGACGCAGCACTCCGAATCGCCTTGTATCCCTTGTATCCCTACACAAACCGTCTGACCACCCATGTGCTCACTATACCCTCACAGAAGAAAATCCTCATTGTCCTCTCTCTCTCTCTCTCTCTCTTGCTCTCTCTCTCTCTCTCTATATCTCTCTTTTTCTCGCTCTCTCTCTCTCTCTCTCTCTCTCTATCTCTCTCTATCTCTTTAATTATATTTCTTTCTCTCTCTTTCTCTTTCTTTCTCTCTGTTTCTCTTTCTTTCTCTTTCTTTCTCTTTCTTTCTCTTTCTTTCTCTTTCTTTCTCTTTCTTTCTCTCTTTTTCTCTATCTTTCTATCTCTCTCTCTCTCTCTCGCGCTCTCTCTCTCTCTCTCTCTCTTTCTTTATTTCTTTCTTTCTTTCTTTCTTTCTTTTGTTCTGTTGCTTTCTCCGTTGCATGCATGTATACACACATAGTTACTTATGTAGGTATCTGTGTATATATGTGTACGTGTAGATACATACATACATCTGTATACACACATACGTACATCCTTCTATATCGAAATCAATCTTCTTACATATCCTTATATCTCCTAATGTGCCCCCCCGGTATGGCTCGGTGAAGCCTAAACCCTAAACCCTTATATTCCAAGCACTGAATTCTGAACCCTGAGCCCGTGACCCCGATACCTACTTGCCGGGCCAGGGGACCTTAGTAAGTAGGTTGATAACCCCTATAACCCACATGATAGCCCTAAGCCCTAGCCCTAGCCCCTCAACCCTAACCCACATAATATGCTAGTTTTCCCTATTATTTATTTACCTGCTTGCTAAGTCCCACCTGGCCCTCCAAGTAAGGTGCGAACCATGAGTTCCAGAATTTAGGGTGTAGGGTTTAGGGTTTCGGGGTCCCGCAGGCTTTCCTGGAGCCTCCTCCCGAGCTTCGCAGTCGAGGGCGCTACGACGCCGCCGTGCACCCGCAGCGAAACTACACCGAGGTACTGCAGCGGGGAAGGGCTTCAGAGTGTTAATAGGGTTTAGGCTTTGTGGTGTGAGGTTCAGGGTTTCGGGTTTAATTTTTGGGCTTTGGGGTTCAGTGTTTAGCTTTCCGGCTTTGAAGTTTGGGTTTTGAGGTTCTGTGCTTCGGTTTAGGATTTAGAGTTGCTGCTGGGGCGCGGAGGTTGTTAAGTATATGGGGGTCCCTTTCAAGGGGCTCTGCAGGCTTATAGCTCGTAGGGTGTATAGGGTTTTTCAAAAATTGAAGGAGGGTTCCTCTCTGGGAGCCCCCCATAATGTTGACAATCATATTTTGGAGTACATGCCCGATTTCGTAGAAAGGGTGTCTATGTCGAGACGAGATCCAGTCAAGGTAGAACAGTAACGGCCGCAGGAAGTCGCAAGTTCGTTCATCTCGCTGCATGCCTAACTTCTGTTCTGGTACACTATAGTATATTATGGTATGGTATAGTATAGTATATTATATGATATCATAATATATTGGGGCTATATAGGGGTTATATGGGGACAATGGAAAATGGAATGGAAACTCTGAAGCCACGAGCCCTAATCTTCCAAACTCTGTGACGCATGCAAGGTATGGATAGGTAGCGTAACATAAGCTTGAATAAAATCCCTTGTATGCTGTAAGTAGCTAAGATCATGAAGGACCCTAAAACTCTAAACTCTAGAACCTAAACCCTACCCTGGGGATCCAAGTATACAAATAATACCTACATTGGGCCCCAAAGTCTGTACATATTATCTACATTGGGCTATTTGGATCCTGAGGGCTAAGCCAAAACATCCCACCTTAGGCCTACTTGATGAGTCCAGGGATTTGGTGAGCCGGCTTACAAGAAACTGCTTTGCTGATCTTAGAGCCTCCCCCTCCCACAACAAAGCCTCTGAGTACCTTAGCGGCCACACCCTGAATTGCAAACCCCTGAGCCCCAAACCCTGAACCCTAAACCATGAGCTCCGTAGCTGCAAAGTTACGGCGAGCTAGTCTTGGGCGCTTTCAAGGTGTCAGGAAAGCCTGCATGAGTAGTATTTGAAGTTCGTATAGTCAGTACTCACGGTGCGCTTAATCTTGTAATGTTGCCAGACGCACATGCCCCAGAAAACATATCAGCAGCCCTGCAACTGTCAAACCCCTTGGGGTGGGGTCCTCAACGGAACGACGCCTCACTAGAACTGACCGCCCCGACCAAAATCCCTCGTCTCTCAACTGGAAAGAGGCTAGCCCAAAATTAAGTTACGGTTTAATTACCAAATTATGCCAGGCTTTGTGCCGACGGCTTCTGCCTGCGCAAAGGAGCAGATCGCTGCCGCGAGAGACAAGAGAAAACAGCTTGAGCTGTGCGCTGTTCCTCATGGATCACGATTTCTTTTTTGAAGCAGGGCATGTATAGGACTGCGCCTTAAGAGTTTAGCCTTGAGTTGAGGGTTAGCACAGAGACACACAAGACCCTTTGTAGAAACCAGCAGTCTTCGTGGGGCTGTGGGTATGTTCTAGTACGACTGCAGTAAGCGCTAGTACCACCCCAAAAGCCCTAGTCAAATTCCTGAGTTGCAGGTAGCACAGCCACCTATCACGACAGATGTTTCTGTTGTTGATTTGCAACGTGTGTGTGGCAGACATGGTTCTCCGAAACTTGAAGGTATTCTCAAGCAGAAGCATCGCCCATTCTGCAAATTGTGAGCTGAAGGGCTTTGGGCTTGCTAGTAGAGTTTCTGGGTTTCAAAAGGAAGCTCACAAGGCCAAAAGCTCTGCACGAAGCGCGCCTGGATTGCAGGCATGTCTGTCCATGCTAGCGCCTCCGGGACAATGACAGCATTCGTCCCAGCGTGGGGTTCTGCGCTCAGCTGGCTGATGTCGCTTTCCATAGGACGCTGATCTGACTAGAGTCTGTACAAGCCACACCCTATAATGGGACCCTATACCCTCGATAATTACAACATGTTGGGTTTCCTAAGTGATACGAGATTGTCTCCATCCAATGTAGTTTGGGAGTTCCTTGAAAACATTTCCTAATTTCTGTTATCTATAACCCTGATAACCTGCTGAAACAATGATTTCTGCCAGGGGTTGAGGGAACTTAGAGTAGTACAGCCGGGGAGTTTAGGGTTTAGTGTACAGCAGGGGAGACCTGCATTGGCGACTTTGGGTCCAACACCTTGCAGTCATAAACCAGTTAGGTTGAGCTTAGGCTTCTGTACCTCCTGTCTTTCTATAGTATATTGGGTTGTATTTGGGGTCGGGACTTTATAGGGATAATGGAAAAGAAAATGGAAACTACTATTTGGGGCCTAGGGTTTAGGGTTCTTGGGTTAAGGGTTTGGGGTTTAAGGCTACAATAATAAAGTCTACTACAACCTTTGGGAGCTAGTGTTTCATCAACATTCTCTCTCCGAGCGTCCACGAGGGATGACAAAAACGAGCAGGATTTGGCGCAGTCTTGGTCTCGACACAGGGCATGTAATCAAAGAGGTGGACACCTTGAGCACACGACACAATCTTGCAATTTGGGGTGCAGGGTTTACCGTTTAGCGAAGGCTTCAGGGATTGATGGGTACGAGATTAGATTGTGATTGTCTTGAGCTGAGCTTCAGTACCATGCCTGCACTAGGACCCCTTGCCAGTGAGTCCAGGCCAGATTCCGCTTAGCCCGCATTTGCAAGACAGCTACACTACTGACATGGCATCTGTGAGCGTCACACAAGCACCCTTTGCAAAGCTGCTTTCACTTTTCTAGCCCCCTAAACCCAAAACCCACAACTGCCCCAGGTATCCTTAGTCTAGAGCACCCTTGTTGCCCCGTCACCCGCCTTGAGGCATTAGTTGCTCAGGGTCACCTAGCAAGTAGGTTGTGAATAATGGGGTTAGTTGGGGTTACTATGTGGCTTATAGGGCCTATTGACTTACTTATTAAGTTCCCCCGGACCCTCCAAGTAGCAAGTTCTAAAAAACAACCTGGCTTGTCAATCAATGATTGGGAGTCGGGGTATAGGCTTTAGGGCTTAGGGCTCATGGTTTAGGGTTTAAGTTTAGGGTTCAGGATTTAAGGTTTAGGTTTTAAGGTTTAGGGTTTCGGG